CCAAACACTGCAGCATTCCTAAATCAGATTTTGTACATCCAAAATTAAGTTTAAAAGGAGGAATATCAATTGTAAATGCCTTTTCTTATAGCTTCTATTAGTCTGGATGGGTGTACTGTCTGCTCCCTGTACGATGTTCAGCACCAGTGAATCACAGCTCTGGAACCTGGCACTCTCTACAATTACCTGCTTAAAGTCCCCTCTGCCCCACAGCAGAGACACTTTCACTGCATTCAAAATGAAAAATAATTGAAACAATCAACTGGGGGAGGGAAAACATTCAAAATTAAACAGCTGGCTAATGAAAGTGTTGTACCTTACTGCCACTAAGACAATTATCTTTCAGAAAACTGGAGCTGCAGAAGTCAAAGTGAAGACTATTGAAAACAGAAGGTACTTATGATGACAGGAGATTGAATTTACAATAGCACTCCCTGCTCTCTGAATGCTAGCTGTAAAGTTCACAGGGCTCATTTCCAGAGGGTACAGTCTTGGCCAGTTCCATTCTGAATTATTTTACAGCAGTCATTTAGTTGGTATATGTTGAGTTCAGTGTCCCTTTTATTTAAGGAAAAGGCAGGGAGGATGAACATGTTTGTTTTACCACTGCAATTGTGTGTAGTATGATAGCCAGGAGTGGAAGAAGGAGTCATATAAGTTTTGTGATAAAAGCAAAAATATTTTATTAGGCTTTTTGTCGTCCAAATATTACTTGGAAAGAAGAATTAAAAGGAGGAGCTTATGTTGAAATCTATAAGAAATCTAGTTATCATCAAATTCGAGTTCACTGTTAGAAATAGTTCTATAATATCTACTTTACAGATACACAAGCTTTCAAGAAAAGAGTAAACTGTGATAAAAAGACCCAATAGAGAATTAATATTTAACTCTCTTTCACTTGAGCAAAGAATGGACGAGAAATATATAAAGCACTTTCATCAGGAATAGTACCAAGATTGGTAGAATTCAATGTTATACAGCTACTCCTCGCTTAACATCATAGTTACGTTCTTGAAAAATGCGACTCAGCAAAACGATGTTAAGCGAAGCCAATTATGTTACAGTAGTTACCTGCTAGTAGGAAGCGACCAAACAATGTTAACTTGTAACCGAACATTGCGTGACTTTAATGGGCATATACTTTAAGCCTTAAGTATATAGCTCAAATAGCTTACACCTCTTAAGGTGCCCAAGCCTGCTAGTAGCTTTAAAAGGGACACCTTTTCTAAATTTTCTTTTTTCCTCTCAGATAGCTCTCAAGTGTTTTCTAAACTGAACCAAATATCCACTGCTCATTTCATAAGCACCTTATTTTTAAAGGATCTTCTAAAAACTCATTTTACCAAGTGGCTTCATGGGACAACATTGCTTTATTTTCATGACACATGAGACTAATATCAAGTAGTTGGCCTCCAAAAGTCCTAGTAAGTAGTCCGCTTCATAACTTCTTCAGTTCTTTTATACTGCTCAAAAACCTTCTTTAAATTCTCTAAACAGAGTTACATCGTGCTTTATTTAGTACAAAGTAAATCCCCCATCCACCTTATCAGAGGATACATTGGCCAAAAGGACAGCATTTCATAATTTGATTGATTTCCAGAACTGCGTGTTGTGGTATCTGTTTTGCAATGATTAGGTTAAGTACTTTTTTTTCTTCCTTACTGGTCTAAGAGTAGTTTGGACCAGCTCCTCAGTATGCCTGTGAGAGTTGGCAGCGATCCGATCCGGAGCTCCGGACCAGGTTTCCGCCTCGATCCGGTCGAAGCAGCTCTGAAGCTTCGGAGCCGCTTTGGAGATCTGGCCATAGGGTATAATGGGGAATCAATTAAATATCTATAATGTTGTTGTTTTTTGTCCAATTTGGATTAAACTTGCAGGGATGGTAGCCTCTGCTGAGAGCATGAAACCTGCCAAGTTTCAAGAAGATCAGTGCAGGGGTTTGGGGGAAACTGTACCCCAAATTTTTGAAAGCCAAACTCATGTCATGGCTGTGGACCTATTCAAGAAGATAGGTGCAGGGGTTTGGGGGGAAACTGCAGCTCAAGCTGTGGACAATCAAAACTCATGACACAGGTGACACTGCATGTGTTAAGGTGCAGCAGGGTGACAGCTGCAGGGATGGTGGCCCCTGCTGAGGCCACAACGCCTGCCAGCTGTCAAGGAGATCGGTGGGGCCCTGCACCCCTAGCTGCTGACAGGCAAAACTCGTGCCAAGACTGTCTCTGTCTTGGGGCAGTTGATTGTCTGTATTGATTCTTTCCTCTCCTTAGCTTGGTTTTGTGGGTGCTAATTGATGCTTATTAAGTCGTTATGTAGTAGCTAGGACCTGTGCATTGAGCTGGTCCCTGAGTCCCCAGGTGAATCATGATTGATTGGTAACTGGTAACACAGTAGCTTAGCAGCCAGGCCTGCAGCAGTCTCTCCCCTCCCTACCCCAAGACGGAGACAGTCAGTCCCACAAGCACCCAAGGCATGAGTTTTGCTTGTCCACAGCTTGAGGGCAGTTCCCCCTAAACCCCTGCACCAATCTTTTTTAAACTTAGCAGGCTTTGTGGCCTCAGTAAGAGCTACCACCCCTGCAGTTTTCACCCTGCTGTGTTGGGTGACATGAGTTTTGCTTTCAAGAATTTGGGGTGCCGTTCCCCCCAAACCTCTGCACCGATCTTCTTGAAACTTGGCAGGATTCATTCTCTCTGCAGAGTCTACCACCCCTGAAAATGTTATCCAAATCAGACAACAAACAACAAAGTTACAGATATTTTATTGTTTCCCCATTACACCCTATGGCTGGATCTCTGAGGCAGCTCTGAAGCTCTTCAGAAGCTCCGAACTGCTTCGGGAAGTCGAACGAGGCCAGCCCTTCGACCCGGATGTGCTGCTTCAGACCCTGAAGCGTCCGAAACTTCTCCAGATCTGAAGCTCTGTCCAAAGCCTCACGCAGCCCTACTGCTCATTTCTATAACTAGCATTACCACATCAGTGGCTATATCACCACATGCAATGAATGTGAAGCAATAACCTCCACAGCACAGAAATATTTCACTGGGCAGTAAGTCTTCAGCAACCTTCCTGCATGTCCACTAGCCATCATAAATGATTCTGACTTTCACTTAGCTATAAAATAACGCAAACAGGACTGGCCTATTTAATTAAAGTACTAGTCTCTGGTTTTCAGGTGACAATTTAGATTGTAAAAGCACAGAAAAAGTTACATTATACGCAAAATGACAACAGTATTGATATGCTTTTACCAAAAAGAAACCATCCTAAATATATTTTCATTTCAACTGTCACCTTCAGGAAAGACAACCATGCATAATTTGACTATCTAACATTTTAAAAGATTACTGAACTATTTTAATGAAATCAACTATTAAAGCCTTTCAATTGGCAATTATCCAAAATTAGAAAAGCAATTTAGACTCAAATAATATTTCCACACTTTGGAAAGTTGACCACCTAATAACTGAAATCAACAGGACAGTTCATAGCTGAGCCCTTACTCTAGGCTCTCTTCGAACTCAGAGCTTTTCTATATAACCAATATATGCAGACAGAAGCATTACAAGCAATTTTTGTACCATGAGCAGTAATGGTAGTTGAAACCATGGTAACAGCTGCCATTCTTGCACCCCCTCACAAATCAGTGCCTAGGGCTGGTGTCCTGGTCTCACACTGGTTATACTATTGCAAGTGGGAGGTTAGCCCAAAATAACTAGGGTGTGAGTTCAAATTGCCATAGTTAACTTCAAAATTACTTTTTCTGTGTTTTCCCTTGTTCAGGCCAGCCATTTTCTATACTTCTGAATCAGGGGTCATGTCTGCAAGTTGCTCACTGCAATCACAGCTAAACAACAATGGCTTTCAAAATAAAAGTCGAGACCATAGAACAACTAAAAGGCGGTTTTTTTTGCCAGAATTTGGGAATGTGGGTCCGGTACACATGGTGGCAGCTTGCACTGCCTGAAACTGGAGTCTGGCCAGCCAGAGCCATACTCTGACTGCCGACCAGGCTCTGTATGACCAGATCACTGATGCTGGAACCCCAGGAGGCCCCCCAGAAAAGGCTGCTGGGGCCAGCCCAGGAACTGGCCCCAGACTCCCCTATCTCACCTGGGACATCTTGCCACGCACTACAGTGAGCATGCAGGGGCATTCCCCAGGGAACACCCATTCCTGCTCGTGGGGACATGCTCTCTGTGGCCTTTATGGCCAGCAATATTTTTTTAAAGACTGACAAGGATTTCTGTATTTTAACAGTTTTTGGATATCTATGTTTTCTCTGCAAGACATTAAAAATTGGATGATGGACATTAATCTTTAAGGCACTGCATATGTATGCTTAAACTCTCATTTAACAGCTGCTCCTCCACTGAGCTCTGCACCATTTTGAGACAAGATTTTTTTTCTTAAGCCCAATTACTTCAGGATTTCTATTCAGACTTTACTTCCACTAACTTATTCAGCCTCAAATTAACTTGAAGCTATGTTGGATGGCACCAAATTAAATACTGCTAGCAATATACTGTTAGAGGTGCAATTAATGGCCATCTCACAAAGGAGAAAGTCAGCTGAAGGTAAGTATAATTTCAAGTCAATTAAACATGCTGCTTCTCATGCAATGGAACATACCTGTGACATCTTAAAGTACATTTGTGTCTATATGGAACAAGCAATTGCAATTATACGCCATAAGTTTTTAATTGCTTATGGAATGGTTTGCAAGTGAGCTTCCACTTCAACCAAGTCATTTTAGTGGAATGATACCACAATAAAATTATTCATATGTAGCACATATGAATGCTATGTTTTTTATCGTTCAGAGGACAGTTAGAGTAGAAAACAGTTTTCTATATCACTCTTTTCTATACACAATATGGTAAACTAGAAACGTCACACCAATGTCACAATTAGGAACATGTGTCACTCAACTGTAATCTCTTCAGATGACTTACTGTTCTAAATTAATATCATTAAGTACAAAAGTACATGCTACTCACCAAATAAATTGCTTGAATGTCCTTGTTTAGATATGGGTTTCAGTTCATTTAATCCCCACGCATAACGCTTATAATTATCCCAGGCATGTTTCATCATCTGGAGGGAAATGAAAGCAGGATTATAATGTTGATTTAAAAAGAAACCACCACAGCAAATACTGATTGAGAATAAACTATATATTAAATATATATTTATTCTGTACTTTATTAAACTCATGTTGTATGCATTAGAAGTATAAAATATTTTAAAATACAATTAACATTACACTGGAAAAACAGTATTACTGTTATTGTTGAATTAAGTGTTCCACTCCAATTAAACCCACCTCCTATTATTATTTCACATACTTATAATTATGGCCAATTAATTTTCAGAGATTAAATTTGTGATAGAAGTATATTAACCCAATTAGATTTTCCTCAAAGAAGATAATCAGATAAATCAGCAGTAGCAAAAAACACTTTGAAAAATTAGATTTTTATACGTCAGGAGCAAGACTGACCAAGATAAATTTATGAGGTCAAAAGTAGCAGCAGTTTAAAACAAGTTATAGTACCTGGCAAAGAGATCATATTTTGGATACAAACTAGCTAGGTTCAGACTAATCCAGGTAATAACACCACAATAGATTGGGGGAGGACAGGAAAAGTCTGTGGGAGAAAAATGAGGACACTGCCCACCATTTTGGTTGAAAGGATACAACTTAATTTCAAAATTAGCAAAAATTTGCAATTGTAAGCAGAATATCTTCTCACTAACTCCCTGCTCTTCCTCCCCTTCTTTAAAGCGGGCTTGAAAGCGAGCAAAGACTCGGGATTCGAACAAGGACCTCCATCAGTCTAACCAAGCAATTATAAGACAATGGCAGCAAAAACTGCCCATCCCAAATACAAGCCAAGGGCTTCCACAAATCAAGGAGTTTCAAAGCTCACAACTGATGTGAAAGAGTGGCAGCAATTTAAGAAAAATGATGTGCAAGCAGACATCATTAAACATATGATCCAATACAATCTACTTTCTTCCTTTCCCTTGATATAGTTCCTTGCAGTAAATAAATAAATTTAAAATCTTTATTAATGCAGCATTATGGGACTGTAAAAGATGCACTCAGTTATGCTTGTGCCATATCCAGAGTATAAAAAATGACATAAGAACCAGCATGAACGTGTGCCCCTGGCGGCTGTGGGGGCATGCCTATGCTGGCACTGGTGGGAGCTCGGCAGCAGTAAGCTGGGAGCTCCTGCAGACGCTGCTGGCAGTGTCATCGGGGGGGCAGGGAGCGCCGACCAGGGGTCAGCAACCACCTATAGGCACCGCCAGTGGCCAGGGGCGATTGTGGACCGCCCTTTTACAGGAGGTGCACCGCCGTGCTCAGAGGGTGCACGTGCACCTGCGTGCACCCCCTACATGTCACCCCTGACATTTCATCAGTTAAACTCCCTAACATTTTACCTTATGCACCATGCTGGGATCCTAGGGACGAGCTAATACACGTTAACCAGAAGTAAGCTTTCAGTAGCCTAAACTCTTTCCTTTTCTATACCCCTGCACAAAGGCACAGTTTTGGCAATGGAATTGGAATTCACTGCACTATACGATGTTGCTTATTCTGTTCTGGCCACAATATAATATAGATAGATTACTTTGCATAGCATCTCTTGCAACTTATGGTGTTTATTGTAGGCTGCTATTTCTACATTACTGTTTTTCAGAGTAGAAACGCACTAATTTCTTAATATTATCATCATATCTAAGAAAAGAAGATTAAGACTGTTTACATGACACATGCTTTTTCTAACGTACTTAATTCAACTGTATTCCAAGCCACTACTGACTCAAGGGGAGCCCATTTAACATGTTACACAAAATAACTTCACCTCAGTCCCATTACTAGCAAACATAAGATTTCCACTGAAAAATGGCATCTTAAGTGGCACTCTTGACACAATTTTAGAAGATAAAGAAGTCAACAACCCTCTTACTCTGAAAGATTTTTCTGGGCTGTAGAGGAGAAAAATCCTACAGCGCAAGAACACTTCTCCAGTGGCCTAGCAAACTGACTGCACTAGAAATCCAAATGAGTATATTTGCTTTGAGACACTCTTGCCCACCCATAATATCAAGGGGTATATGTATTAACAATATTATACTACATATGAAGAGAGCAATTTTTAATTTAAATTTGTTTGAAAAGCTTAGAATCTCTCTTTTGGAAAATAAATATAAGTTTCAAAACCTGCTTTCACTTCAGTTCAGGATGAAAACAATTAAACTTGAGTTTTACAGAAAATCCAAGACCACTTAACATTTTTATATTAAAATATGGGTTTTTTTATTCTTTTTATATTTTATGGTATACCAAGAAGTATAATGATATGTCATAACACAATGTAGTCAACATACCATATTTTCCTAAATCCTAGACTAGGTTTTTTCCCCATTCAACATGAGCAATTTCCCCTCCATGTTGGACTCAAGTACAAAGTGGGGCAGCAGGTAGCTGCTGCAACTCCAGCTCTGACCCTAACCCAGACTCAGACTTGGCCCCATCACCACCACCACCTGCCTGCTGCAGTCTTTGTTCCCTCTCCCCATTCCTGCTTGCAACCCACAGCTGCTTACCTTCCATCATGGCTCTGGCCCCACTCTGATTAGGGGTACAGAGCACATTGTGGCTTTAGTCCCTGCCCAGGCAGGCAGCACCAGTATCTCCAGCCCTGACTCTGGATGCTGGGGCAGAAGCCTCTGGGGCGCAAGAGGGAAAGGGAATCAAGGGTCAAGCAGGCTCTCCTGCTACCTGGTCCCCCAATGCCTGCCCCCTGCTTTCCCCTCCACAGCAGTTGGAAGAATGAATGTCAGATGACTCCCCAGCAATAGTTAAATTTCTGAATCTATAAATTTCCCAGGTTTATAATATAATTATTGGGGGGGGGGGTCACCTTAAAAATTCTAAGTTGTCTTGGACTTGGATAAATGTAGTATTTAAAAAAGATATATTAAAACAAAAGTATCAGTTTCAAACTAGTTCATTACAATACACAACATGTCCTCAACTATTTGCAGACTTAACTTTTTTTACACTAATCACCTACATTAACAATGTCATTTCTCACGTCACTCAGAAACAGCTCTGAACATCTCATTGCCATTCCGCACCCAAAGTAAATAGGAAGTCAAGCACAGCAACAGTTCTTTTAGAGAACAGTGCCACTTTTACACTGCCAAAATAAACCCCAATTTTATTTGTACAAAAGAGAGCAGCTGCTTTCTTTCAAGTCATCATTTCATTAACACATGCTCTCAGGCACTCTTTATCTTAAACTTCTATTTCATTCTTCCAAAACAGAAGCAGGCTGTAAATACTTTCCTCGTGCTTTAGGCAAGGTCAAGCCTCAGCCAATACGTGTACAAAACAATAACGCGTACATACAACCACACACTTTCTTCCTCCCCACATCAATTGAGAAAAAAAATAGGAAAATGTAGATTTTTGAACTTTTAAACCAAGGTTGCTTAGATCCAAGTGTCTGACTATGCCATAGGAAGCTTGACTCCAGAACTACAACTCAACTTTGGCCTTTTATTAAGGGCTTGTTTTTAAGTCTATAAATAGTTTTCATTTCCCTTTTTTATAGTGGTGCATTTAATCCTCTGGGTCCTTTCCTTGTTGATTTGATTTTCCTATGGGATTTTGTAAGGGCAATAGCAGTTCAAGGGCTTAATCTGTAGTTACTGACTTACATGTACAGGGTAAAAAAGCTGTTTTTCCTTTTAAAAAAAATTGGGGTACAAATAGGAACAACAACATGGCACTTACAAATAGAAAATATTTTGTTTTAATATAAAACAGAAAAGAAGGCCATTGGCAGTTGAGTGCCCTGAGACAACACTGGCTTCAACTGGAAAACTTTGAGTTAACACGTTCCCCTCAAGTCATCTACTGACACCAGGGTACTAACCATCTGCCAAATACATACTTGCATCTTTATTTGAAAAATAAAATACAAATCAAAGATAATAAAGACTTCTCCAAGAGCCCTTGTTAACCATCGAAATATCTGTCTAATACAAGTACACTAGCAACAGTGGACAATTGTAACAGACTCAAATTCCGTTACTATCTACAACTCCCACTAGCTTCAACTGGAATCGTGTGCTTCTATCCAAGACTGACATCTGACTCTTGGGCTTTTGAAATTTACTGCTGCCATATTCAGAAACAAACGGCACCAGAAGTCCTACTCTGCTACAATGCAGCTTGTCTACATTCAAGCTACATTTGTAGGAAGAGCACTTCATCGTTATCCTTCCATCAGCCAGTATCAGCAAAACACTTTTACTGTAGAGGTAGCTCTTTTGGCAAAGCCACACTTTATACTGGTAAAATAAAACCATTCTCTCCTCACCCACGTACAACAGAAATGTTACTAGTTAAAGCTTAGTTTTGTGGACATATTTGCACCTACTCTGGGTGCTAGTCAGGGATTTTTATACCCCTAACTGACAAGGCAATGACAGAAGGCTCTAGCATAGACATGGCGTAAGGCAGTAGGGGCCAACCTGTTTGGTGGGTGTGCCACAAATTTACCCCACACCTTCCCTGAGTGCCACTCAAATTCCCTTCCCCTGACTGATATGTTCTTTCTGCTCCCAGACATGAGCTTCCAGCCTGCTCTGCTTTCTACTTCCTGCCCTATCTGCTACTTTGCTTTCTGCTCCCTGCCCTATTTGCAACTGTGCTTGTAGCTTCCTCCCCAGTCTGCCATATGCTACACAGATGCTGCCATCCATGCTACAGGTCGGCCAAACCTGGCTTTAGAGTTTACTCTGATGTGGAATTCCTCAATTTCCTATGGCACGCTACACTTCAGTATTTAAGTGCTTCACAAGGAATAATAAATTTAAACATGGCTTTGTCCCATTTAATTTTTAAAAGTCACTGCTTCTTAGACCACCTCTTAGAATATATTCTGTGCAACTCTTTCTCCCTCCATTCTTTCAGGGCTCAGCACCTAGTAATAAGAACATGTATGGTAAGTAATATGACCAAAACAGGAAACAAAAGGAACAGAAGTATAGGGAAACTGTTGGTGAAGTCATTTATAAAGAGGCTGTGTATCTTCAGTAGATCATTAAATTAAGCCTCTAATCAAAGTATATTTTTTTTGTGCAAGGCAACATAACTGGTACCTCAAAACAGCAAAAAGGAACAGGACTGAGATTTCTTCCTTTTTCCTGAAAAGAAAGAAGTAGACTTGTCCCAACTGGCAGTTACCTAGAACTCCACAACTGTTTTACCTTTATTATGTTCTGCAAAGACCATGACAAATTGCTTGCATGTTGCAGCAAGTGTTAATTTTCAAATCTGATTATTCTTTAAAAAATTAGTTACTTTATCTGATGTTCAAAAGGGTTTTAGCAATACCAAGGCAGTTCACTATACTGTATATAACCATTACATTTGATTCTACAGAGATCTATCCATAATAAAGCAAAGGAAAATCCGAACACCGTATCTTTTCGTGTACAAATGCCTCCAAGTAAAACATGCCCTTTATTTTTTTGAGGGTGGGTTAGTTTGCTGGGGGGGGGTTGTTCTTTTGGGGGTAGAGGAGGGGTTGGGGGGTTAAAAATAGCCCCAGGGGGGAGGCCCCCCATCCCACCCGCCCCCAAAACCTGCCAACCCCCTCATGAGCCACCAGCCCCTCCTCCTGACCCTGACTTACTTCATTCAGGCTCCCTAGACCACTGAACACCAGTAAAACCAGTGCCAGGAGCAGTTTGCAAGATTGGGGATGGTTTGGTGGCATTGAAGTGGCATTGGCAGAGCCTGGGGGACTCCAGGGGTGTTTGTCAGGACTGGGGAGCCTCTTCAATCCCACTACCCTGATCCCCTCAATCACCCTGCAGACCCTGATAGTCCCCACCCTCAATCCCAGCCTCCCTATGGATACTGTTAGTCCCCATGATCCTCCCAAGCCTCCCCATGGACCCCAATAGACTCCCAGTCTGTCATAAGATTAGGCCCCAGACCCTGGCAAAGGGCAGTAATAAGGTTGTTACTTCTTTACTGTAAGTGTTTCTTATAGTAGTTCCTGTAAATAAAGTGTTGTTTCCACATCTCAAGTCTTACCAAGATACTACCAATAGCTCACTTCCTGCTTCAAGTGCAAGCTACAGTGCTCAGACAATAGCTATGGCTCTGAGAAAGACTTCACCTTCTCAGTTTGCTGAGTAGACACAAACAATAGCTCTTTTGGCAGCTGCATGCCATGCAGGAACACTCCTTTTTCTAGCAAAGAAAACAGCTTCCCCACTTAAACCATGAACCCCAATTTTGGGGTGCTGATTTTTGGAAAAGGGTGCATGGTTTATATAAGAAAATACTGTACCTAAACATGTACAAAATTAACAGACTTTTTTCTGATATGAAATCCTTCAAGAACAAATTTCTGTTAAAAGATCAAGCACTAACCCCTAAAGTTCTTCAGTTGATTTGCCAGTACAAGCAAATAACTGAATAGATCTATAGAATACCAAGGAAGGCAATGTTAAAAAAATGCATACTATGCTCAAAAGGCACAGCATAGTCTGATAAATGAAGTGGGCCCAACAGCTAAATTGCTGCCCAACGGAGCTTAGAGAGTCAAACAGAATTAGTCAATATAACAGAAAAGAGTATAGTATGCTCTTCGTAGCCAAAATGTGTTATTTAAAAGGGAATCTACCTTTATTTTTATTGAAGAAAAGATAGATATAACTTTAAGTGGGAGATTAAACTAAGCATTAGGAATGGCATATTTATGCCACCCTGGTAATTCAGAAAGAATTGAGCAAAATCTCTGTAAGCATGCTATGGCAAGTAATTTGACAAACAAGATTTTTTTTGGAACAGTTATATGTATTACATCCTTATCCAGCATTCAGCCTGATCTCTAAAGATCAATTTAGAAAACTTGGTTAAAAAGTTATCTTTTAATATCGTTTGCAAAAGCACTTTTCTGCAATATAATCAAGCCAAGTAATTAGTTCAGCAGCCAAAATAGTCAAATTGCTTGGAAGTCAGAATCTAATTCAAAATTAAACAAATGTCAGCAGGATTCAGAAGCAAGTTTCACATCCAGTGAGCCACTCTGATTCACATGTAATTTAAAAGCATATTTAAATGTTACTGAGATTTGAGTTCAGTTCTCCATTAAGCAAGCAGAATATTAATCTGAAGTTATCATTCAGTTTTCACGCTTAGTCTAGTGTCAAACTCAAATAGCTTTTCAGATTAAAAAATGACAAAAAGGCAATGATTGTTTGTCATTTGTGAAATATACAATATGGTGGGATAAGCTTTTGTGCAGTATTTGAAAATTTAGTCCTGGGTTAACTGAAGTATTCTAAAAAGTGGATGAATAAGGTGCAATATATTTTAAGGGAGAAAAAACCCTAAATGATGTTGTTTCTTGCTTTATTAATCTGCATCTGTTCATTTATTCCTTTTCTTTATTCCCATCCCCTCAGTGAGGGGAACAGGCAGCGTGTGCATAAGCTTAGACAATGCTCCCTAGAAAAGCGCTTACCTCAGACACCCAAAGCACATTCATACCTTGAGAAGGGGATTCATGCAGCAATATTACAAAAGTAAACATTTCTTTCTACCAAAGAAACTAGCATTTTTCAAATTACTTTTGTCAAGCATATCTGAACTGATCATATAGAATCAACTACCTCAGTAGGCTCAGCAGGTGACTGAAAAAAAACAACTAGCTATTCCACTACCATGCATGCTGAAAATATTTTCCCCTACCAGTTTGGATTATAATACCGCAATGCTTTCAGCATTCTGGCTTGAGAAGTGGTTGAATTACTACTTTTAGCCACCTATTCCTTAATATTTTATTCTTCTGCAAACAATCAACTTCTGGGTATCTAGAATTCTGCAAAAGGTGGTGGTGGGGGAAGAGACCCAAAAAATCCTTTTTGGCCTCTTAATGAATCCATGCTTAGCTTTCACAGAAGGCAAAAATTTCCATGTACCTTTAAGGAGATCACACTAAACAAAAAGTTAAAAAATTAAGGAAATGAAAACATTCTACCATTACAACAGTTAAATAATACACTAAAAAACAAACAGTTTACAAAAATATTTAGGTTGCAA